GGGGGGGGGGGGGGGGGGGGGAGAGAGAGGAGCAAAGACTATATGTGCTATACATAGTTTGGGCATTAAGAGAAAGATATACTGGTGGTGTAGAAAATATTTGTACAATAATATTGAGTATTTAAAAAGTAATTGAATATTACTTACTTGATACATAACATGTTTAAATTACATTAATAGTATAAAGATTCATTATAAATCCTAATGGAAAATGGGAAAGGACACAAGCCCCCACATTGTGTCCACCCAAAAATCATCCAAAACAAAGCTAATGTTAGCCTTGTATTGTTTCTGTGCAGTACTGTACGTTTGGTAAGTTTGTGAGTTGTGACAGTTGATTCCCCGAAGGAAGAGTCTTTTTTTTTTTTTTTTTTCATTTGGTGTCCGCTGTCTGTATTGGAGCTTGACTAAATTCGAATTCGCACTAGGAAGTTCCATATTGAGGAATAAAACGCTCCCTAACAAAGACGACTTTATATCCAGAGCTCAAACCCGAGCCCTCTAGCCAAGGATGAAGGAGCACTTACCACTCAATTAGGACCCTTATTGGTGGAGGGGGAGAGTCCTTATCCATGGAAGTGTTAGGACAACCAATAAAATTTAATTCTGAATGACAAGCTCAATGAAAGCTAAGTCCATTGTCTCCACAAACAACTTACAAAAATCACTTTATTTTTCCCAAGTATGTGCACGTGAAATCCCAATAATTTCTCATGCATTTGTGGGGTCCTCTTTTTGCCAGCCACTCTCCTTTTGTTCTCTTGCCTACTGTCCAACTCCTAAGAATCTCATTCTCTCTTAGCTTAGCTCTACTCTCTTCTCCTCCTCCTTTTTATGTTTTTAAACCTTTGTTGAGTTCATCTTCAAAAGCTGCAATTGTAGAACTTTAAAAAAAACAATGTCACTTTGCCAATATTCCATTCTTTGTCTTCTGCTTTTTGTACTATTCTTCACTTGTTCTGGAAATGGAGCATTTGGTTATGCAGATAATGAACTACTTCTCCCACTCAAAACACTTCAAAGGATACAACACAACCATTATGGCCCAAGTTGTTCATCTCAGAAATCAAGTGAGTTTATGCACACAAAAAAGAAAGACATTGTAGCTTGAGCTAATCATTTTTTTATATCATATACTGTAGTGTATATTAGTGGTTGTTTAGCTTTTCTCATATCAATATTATCAAACTCTTTCTTGGGATCTGCTATCATATATTCAGCCACTTTTCATGTTTTAAGTCATCTAATTAACACAATTATTGCTTTCTCTAATCCCTATATCCTAAAAACACTATGCAGAGGCAGATGTAGGCTATTTGTATATATGTGAAAACCTACTAGAATTTCATTACATATTAAAATTTGGAACCAATGAATTCAAAGTAGTACAGTAAGTTTAGTGTTAAGAATTACCTTGAAGGTATAAATCCTGAATCCGTCTCTGACTATATGACCAGTACGTGTTGTTAATTGTCATCATCTGTGGTTTTCCAGGAAGTGAAAATGGTGCAACAATATTAGAAATGAAGCACAAAGATTACTGCTCTAGATCAAGAGGTGACTTGAATAGAAGGCTGCAGAAACAATTGTTAGCTGATGATATTCGAGTTCGGTCAATGCAATCCCATATCAAGAACATCAGTTCTCAACAAGTTGAAACTTTATCACAGACCACCCGAGTTCCTATCAATTCAGGTGTCGCAATGCAGACTCTAAATTACATTGTTACAGTGACATTAGGCGGTCGAAACATGACAGTGATTGTAGACACAGGAAGTGATCTAACTTGGGTACAATGCCAACCTTGTAGATTATGTTACAATCAACCAGAACCTCTTTTCAACCCCTCATTTTCATCTTCTTATCAATCAGTTGCATGTAATTCATCAACCTGTCAATCTCTTGTATCTGCAACCGGGAATTCAGGATTATGTGGTACTAATTCACAAGCTTGTAATTACCTTGTAAGTTATGGAGATGGATCTTATACTAAAGGTGAACTTGGTCAGGAGCATTTGGTTCTTGGAAATAGTTCAGTTGACAATTTTGTTTTTGGCTGTGGTAGGAATAATAGAGGTCTGTTTGGTTTAGCTTCAGGTCTTATGGGACTAGGAAGGAGTGATCTTTCCTTAATATCTCAAACTTTTGATGTGTTTGGTGGCGTTTTCTCGTATTGTTTGCCTTCAACTGAGGCAGAGTCCTCTGGTTCACTAGTATTTGGTGGTGATGCTTCAGTTTTCAAGAACTCTACACCAATTTCTTACACTAAAATGGTTCCAAATCCACAGCTTTTTAGCTTCTATTTTCTCAATCTAACTGGGATGACTATAGGTGGGGTTGTTGTTCAAGATTCAAGTTTTGGCCAAAGTGGATTTCTCATTGATTCTGGCACAGTTATCACAAGACTTCCTCCTTCCATTTACAAAGCTGTTAAAGCTGAGTTCTTAAAACAATTTTCAGGTTACCCTTTTGCACAAGGTTATTCAATTCTTGACACTTGCTTTGACCTCTCTGCATATGAAGAAGTGAACATTCCAACCATTAAAATATATTTCGACGGCGGTGCTGAGATGGAAGTGGATGTTGCTGGTGTTTTCTATTTTGTGAAGAGTGATGCATCTCAGGTCTGTTTGGCTCTAGCAAGCTTACAATATGAAGATGAGACTGGAATTATTGGAAATTTTCAGCAGAGAAACACTAGGGTCATATATGACACAAAACAGTCACAAGTTGGATTTGCAAAAGAAACCTGCAGTTTCATGTAGATGACAGAAAATTTCTAAGGCCAATAATGACTCGTTGGCGATGATATCTTTACTATTTTGCTAGACAGAGATAACTATTGGAGCTTTATTTATGGAGGAAGATACAGATATTATTATGGTTGGCAGTTATTGTTATGTAAAATATCCCATAAACAAGTTCAATCCTTTTATAAAATGTGAAAACAGCATATTGACAACAAGAGAGGAGCCTCAATTGTTTTTCTGGAAATGAACTACTGGATAACCAGATTTCTCTATAACAAACAACACTACTAGGTTGGATGTACAAAGAGTAAGAAGATAACTGAATGGTGAGTCAGAGAGTATTGATGCTTAATCATCTCATCAAAATCAAAAGTTTTTACAGGAAAGAATACAAATTAGCATATTCTTTACAAGCATATAAAAACAGGCATCATGCCCACAATAGAATGTCTCGACAACCGAGCCTGTGGTCCGTAGAAAAATGATTCCTTTTTCTCCTCGAAATCACAACAATACCAGAGCCAACCACAGTAGCATGTTTCAATTCTTGAGCTGGATTCACAAGTACTACTTCATTAAAACAAATTTACATGGTCATTTGCTAGAATGGTACAAAATACAAATGGTTAACATCAAACTGAGGCGTACCAGGTAAATAACTTTGTTCAGTGTGCTCTAACTTCTTTAGTAGAAAGCTAGTAAATTCGTCCTGTACAATCTCGGTCACGCTGCTAAAAATATAGCAGCTAGAGACAAAAACAATTGCAGACCAGAATGGTGGAGTATACTTTCCCTACTATTGCACTTATGAATCCACTAAATGTTGATCGATGTTGGTTACTAGCGGAGTCATCTCCAGCTTTTGAGTGCCCAAGTTATCGTCGCCCTTTTTCCTATTCAACATCTCAGTTGGTAGAATAGAAGCAGTGGGATCACTGCTTGGCACCAAAAACAGAATGCTAATTGGAAGGACCCTCGAAATGCTCCGGATAACTACTGCTATCCAAAGGTTGTCAAATTGAGTTCTTGTGACATTCAAGGTGTGAAGTAAAAGGCCTCCAGCCCAAGATGCTGTGAGACTACCAACATGATCAATTGACATTAGCAAAGCGAAGAAAGTTCCTTCAATGCCAGAAGGGCAAAGCTTTGAACTGAGTACTAGAAGAGGCATCCATCTGAGACGCCCGATCATATGAGAAATTGCTGCATCGCATACAGCAACAACATAATCAGGGATTCCAAACTGCAGGTTTACTCGTGATATCAATATCAAATCCAGCAGTCCTGAAGCGCCATATAATAGCTGAGACCAAAAAAGTACGAAACGAAAAGGATGGTTTCTAAAAGCATTCTGGTAGAGGAGAACTCCAAGAAGATAGCCTACTGCACCTACAGAGGATATTGTACCTACAATCTCCTGTACAAATGCGAAAATGGATTGATACTCCGTGATTAAATGTTATTTTCCAACTTCATAAGAAGCGAATAAGGAATTGCAAAATCATGAGCAAGAAGTAAGGTCTTGAATCACAAAGTTGTCGCCAAACAAGGTTGAATAGATAAAAGTTCAAGTACCTTTGAGAACAATGGGCCACCCTTTGCATCTGTATACCAGTAAAACATTCCCTCGTGAATATGCAAACTCAATGCAAGCGAAATGTACATGTACAGACACGGCCTCCACACATTCTCGCATTTCAGTGCCATCCACATAGCCTTACAAGCATCCAAGAACTTTTGACCTACCTGTTTGCAGAAACATACGTTCACAATACAAATACAAAAAGATCAAGAACTGTCCTAAGCCGAGCAAGGGGATATACGAGGTTCCAATATACCTGCCTGTATGCAACATTGTGTATAAAGGGTTCGTGCAGCATCATTCCTACCAAAATTACCAGCGCAGCTGGAATGCTTAAAACTCCAAACACTCCCTACCAGATAACATTTATCAGAAAACAAGGAAATATCAAGTGACAAGAGGCAATAGGTAATTCAGGCTACTCGTGAAGCAGCATCATTATGTTCATTGTACAGGTAAGCTAGAGTAGGTTAAGCCACAAAAGATTAATGAAGCCATAAACTCTTGTGAATATTAACAAACCAATATATCTGAATAATATACAGTAGTTTCATCTAACAGGAAAAAGCATTCAACAAGACTCATTAAAAAAAATCAAGAACTCCTCAGTCTTGATAAATGATTAGCCAATAAGCAAAATGCAAATTAAAGCAGATGCAATATTCCATCGAGAATGATCGAAATAGGCCAGCGATACCAAACCTTAGATCCAATTAGATGAACCAAAAAGCCACTGATAGTATAGCCAATCAGTTGCCCGACTGAAGAGCTCACTCCACACAAGCTTTGCATGTCACTGGCAAGAGAAGGATGGCTTATACTGTTCTCTGTGACACATGCATCAATAGTAACATCTGCTACTGCCTGCGCAGCACTACCACCCATCAGGCACAACAAAGCAGATGCAAGTTGTAAGTTGTGGCCGAATGACAAACTGAGCATGGCAAAAGCACCAAGAAAACCTAAAGAACAAAGGGAGGCAAGTCAAAAGAATTCTCTTCTGTCTGTTATTTGACAACTCAACATCTGGAAATTGGATAAAGTAAATTGTTTAAACCAACTATAAAGCAGCAAGCTATTTCTACATTCTAGAAAAGATAGTTAACCAGTCACTCAAAAATGGCTCAATACCAAACTAATGTGAGTTAATTAATTTTATGAATGCTCTATATCCATTCCACTCTATTTGGGATTATTTATTCAATACCATATAGTATGTCTTTTATATAGTACAGGTACACCGATAAATGTAATGTCGTTTTTAGCAGAAGCACAACAACTTACAGAAAGGTAGATTTGCTATGATCGCGATGAGCAATCAAATATCTTAGCATTCAAGACAACCATAAGTTGGTTTACATCACACTGACAACAAATATTATCTTTCTCCGCCTTTTGAATTTCCCTCTATGTCTATATGTGTATATCTACAAGAAGTTACAACAGAAAGGTAACCTGGTGGGATTGCCGTTGAATAACACCATACATATTCTTACATCATATTGTTATTACTGATGCATTGGTTCTATAGGTCGAGCAGCTACTGGAGAACTAAGTCAATAGCTTACATCCGGTATGAATAAGTCGAATTCTTGAAGGAGTGGCATTAATAAAAATGTCTGATCATGCCTTTAATTTATTATCACAGCTAATGAAAAGTTAACCAATGAAGACGAAGATTTAGTTTAATTCCTGTCTATTTTGTTAATTAAGAGCTCAGTTAATAATACAGTACTCAAATACAGCCTTGTCCATAATCAGAAAACCCCACCAAGCCAAGGATTTTAAGTCGGTTGTCATCTTAAATATTCATAACTTAACATTCGAATTTGGAAATCAAAACAACAACAACAACAACAACAACTATGCCTCAGTCCCAAACAAGTTGTCGACTATATAAATCCTCATTGACCATGTTACTCCATTTAAACTAATGGCATAGTCAAAGATGATGATTAAATACAAACAAATCGGATATCATTAATATTAAGAGCAATTATCTTGAAAAATACAAATGGTAATTTGTAAACTTTTATTGCCACCTAAATCACATACCAGCAAGAATGAAGTATGGCCTCCTTTTGTATCCTCTAATGGGAAGAGTATCAGTTAAAAGGCCCCAAAGAGGTTTCACAATCCAAGGAAGTTGAATTATTCCTGAATATATTTGAGCTTCAGAAGGTTGTAGCTTTTGCTCATCCTTCATATAATACTGAGTACTAATCTTGCTTAAACCTGTACTCAATCCCTGATTAATACCATATATAATAACCACACCTGACACAAAGCTCCAGTGAAATTTATCACATAGCATTCTGAACCAGTAATATGGTTTCAGAATTAGTACCAACATTTTATTCTTTTCTTTGCGTAGTTGTCCCTCTAATGGAAGTTCATCTTCTTCACTCATTATTCAACTAATTATTATTATTCAGTGATTTCATACGCTGGTAAGATCCAGATCAAGAATGAAAGTCGTTTTGAGAGTCAACGGAAACTGGAAGAGTCAAGTAAAGAAGAAGAAAAAGAAAGTGTACGTCATGTTTAACGAAATATATAAGTTGTTTGTATGTCCTTTTAATTCTCGGTTGCCACAAATTTCAAACATAACGTAAAAAGTTACTCAACTTTGTGAGAAAGAAGGAGAAAATATTACTACTCTAACTATTCAGCCTGCCTAGATTATAGATATAGAAAGGTAAATAAATGCTCTTAATTCCTCCATTTTGCCTTTTACCCAAACAAACAACATATACTCATCCGAATAATAAAAAGGAATCAACTTACATGCACGGATATGTAAGCAATTTTTATGATATCATTCTAATTTAATCAAATTATAATCGATTACTCACTTCACTATATTTTATTAGGTACTAGTTTTAGTATACCGTGAATTTTACATCTCAATAAAAGTTAAAATATACAATATTTAGTTCACATGAGTTGAACAACATACACCATCATTCTTTAAAGTTTGCCCAATATTTAAGTGTAGTTTATTTACAAATTTATATATCTATATCTATACTATATTAAAAGCACGAAGGCCCTTAGCGAAATGTCGTTCACCTTTTTTATCCTTTTTAAAATAGAGTTCACACCAGACAAAATAGTCATTTGGTTATTCTTCTAGCTAATTAAACCAAATTTATGACTTATTAAATTTTTCCTTATTCTAATCAAGTAAGTATTAAGTCCTTATAATTAGGACTTTAAAATTATTAAAATTTTACCATATATAAATTTTACAATTAAAGTATAATTAAATTGCACAAAATCTTTATGCCTAATACATTCCTTATTTGAATTGGGTAAAATAACTAATCTTTAACTCCAAAATTATGAACCCTCTCACCGTTAGGTAGGCATATAATTTGTTTACCTAAACATTTCTAAAGCTTAAAAGTACAAACAAACCCAAAAAAAATTATTAATTGGAAACAACGAGGATTTAGATTTGAAAGTATTAATTAGTGTAGTTCCAAAGAATTAATTTTGAAAATTCTAAATAAGTTATTTTTAAATGTTAATTTTGAAAGATAAATAATCTGAAAGTATAAGGCAAATATAAATTTCTGGAAATAAATCTAACTAAAAATAAAATATTTAAGGTACCTAAAAATCTAGGAATATATTTTTCACAAAGTTGAAGTTGGTCGCGCATCTTCACTTTTGTAGCTTTAAAAAACTAAACTATTCCTTCAACAAATAATTCTAGAAACATTACTTATAATAAAAGATTACTAAAATGTACACAAACGTGTTAGATATCTACTAATAAAATTTAGATCTAATTTTAAGTCTTCAAAAATCAAAGATTACTAATAATATGCAGAGCAACTTACAACATATTAGGTCGAGTATCAAAACATATATAAGTTTAATACGGCATGCTTACGTTTAGAAAATAATAGTAGTATTTCAATTTAAAGTAATAAATTACTATAATGTACTTTAAGTTAATTATTTGAATAAGTTGAATACATATTGTAAATTTATACACATATTAAATTACAAATCCAATTACAATACTCGAAAAGTAAAACATAGATAAGATAAATTTATATATTGAAATTAATGAAAATAAATTAGATACATTTATTCATAAGTAATTTAAGGTAGTATTTAAAAGAGCTAAAAGAAAACATAGAGAGAGAAAGGTATAAATTGATATTCCTTATTGAGTTAACTATATATACATAATCAATATTCTTTGTTGAAATAAATTTACACATTTATTTTGATTCAAAAATAATATTTATATAATTTTTTAAAAGTTTTATACTCATTTAGATAGGTTACACGCGCAACGCGTGTATCGTAAGACTAGTTAATATCAAATATAGGATCAAAAGAATAACTTGAACTAAAATAACGATCATGTTATAAATAGAATTTTATTTATGGTGAATGTCTATATTTAGAGAGATTCTAGGGTTTATTACTTGGTGGCTAAGTCACCCTCTCCCTATAAATAGAGGGTTCTATTCCATTGTAATTCATCCCAAATCAATAAGAATTCCCTCTCCCTCTTTCTCTGCAATACTCGTCTTCTTCTTTTATTATTTTATAAAACGTTATCAGCACGAGACTCTAACCAATTGAGTAGAAGCTTTGGGATTGAGCATAATGATTGTCAATTGTTACATGAACTTCCTTCATGATTAAATTCTGAATTTAAGATAAGTATCTTACTTTATTTTTCTCTTTTAAATTCTTGAAATTCTATAATTTGATTTTATATACAAGCAAAGACAACAAAGTTTGATTATAACTCTAATGGAGTTTGTAAGAAATTATAACCACATGAAGTGGTAAAATTTTTATGCCTTGCCATGATCAAATTCATGTATGATTGTGGGCAAAGAGGTGGAAACCCGTCCCATTGAATTTGCTTCATTCTCATTCCCTTAAGAGAATGTGATAGCAGTATGTAATACGTCTGAAAGAAGACAAAATTATTACCGTAAAGATATTAATGAATGTGGACGTGGCAGTAGACGAAATTATAATCGTCATCATTGTGATAATGAGAATAATAAGGATTTTCAAAATAATCCTTCACTTTGTGAAAGTAATATTTGTCATTTATTTGACATGAGATTTTATAAAGCACATACAGATGATTATGGTCTATTCAAGATGTGAATATGATACAACTGATTTATGAATACATATTCATTCTTGGAAGAATATGAACGTGCTAGTGGTAGTGAATATACCACACTCACCTCTAGAAGGAGGTTTGAGATGATATAAGAAAATAATGTCATTATTATGGCATGAATGGTCATTGGTCACGTACCTATTGTACGCCAAAATATTTTGGCATTGTGATTATTAAAAGACAACAATAATGCAAGAAACAGATCTTGCATATAATTTTGACCATAACCATAATGGTATAACTTTCTCTTTAAAAGAGATATTCACCATATGGATGTTGATAAATATGTGGTAGTACCAAATTAATTGAGAGCTTTGGAAGAGCCAATTATTACTATTTTGGAGAAACACAATTTGATTACCAATAAGGTATTGTGTTGTAGTAAGTCTCGAAGAAACTTATTCAGTTTCCAAAGTATACGCGAAAGCGGTTGATTATATTGAGACTATAAATAAAGGAAAGATTTAATATCTTTTATTACTGCAACTTGTAGCTGGATAATATGTATGTGAAATGCTACCCGCTTTATTCTCCAGTTTGTACTACACAAATAAAAGAATACCACACTAAAGTGGATGTTTATTGATATAAAAACTCATATCATAATAAACTTGGAGTTTATTGATAATTGCACACGTCATGGTGTAAACCTGAAGTTTATCAATGTTGATAATTTATTCAGTTGGCATAATTGTTTTAGCCATATCAATTTAAGTATGATGTGCAAAATAAAAGAGAATTTACATGGGTAAATATTAAAGAACTAGAAATTTCTTTACGAATTCTCTTATGTTGCTTGTTCTCATTATTTAATTGACCAACTAAATTAGAATTGAATCCCATGAATGCTAGAAATATCAAAGGTGAATATGGGCCCATTCACCTGCTATGTATACCACATAAGATGCATCTATGATATGGTTACATGTGCGATTATTATTAACCCGCAACCTGACCGGTGTGTGCGAGGTAACTTGCTCAATAATTTAACTTCGAGCATAATTTCCAAATTTTTTATTCAAGATAGTTTATCTTGATAAGTTGGTTTACATCACAATTGGTTTAGCAAGATGATTTATTAAGTGCCTCTACTTAAATAGCTAAACAATTGCTTATGAGAACAAAGTTTTGTTTATCAGTTTGATATACGTTATATACGAAAGTATATTATTTTCTCCCCTCACAAGTGGTTCAGGGTCAGGAACCAAATAATTCCATCTTATTATTATTGATGTGCGGTGTATATTTTGCTTAACACCATAACGCACAAAGGTAGATTCTCAAAGTTGAGAAAACAAGTTAGTTTTTCTAACATGAGGGGGAGACATGATAAACAGTTGAGAAAAAGTTACGTGGAATGAATTATCATTTGTACATCTAGATCCTCGAATAAGATAATATGAACTTGAAGTTCATAAAAGGAGAATTCGCTTGCAATATATTGCAAAGCATGCCAGACGCATTTGTTGACCCAAAGAAAGTAACTATATTCTCATTGCAAATGCTCATATTAAGTCCTAGAAGGACAAAGTCTATGGTACGCTTGAAGCGTATAGACAAATCAGTTTCAAATAAACTTCTTGATAAAGAAGATGAGCAAATGATCTAAATGATCATAACAAAGGAGGCAAGTGATCTAGAAGATCACATGACATAACATTTCATAAAATCCCAGGAGAGATTCAGGTACTTGAAAATATGAATGAAGAGATCTCTATGTTATGTCTTTATGAAAAAATGTTGAAACTGATATAAAATATTTGTCGACGATATCTATCATAGCGCTAAGTATAGATGAGGATCTTAAGTTTGTCGAATACAGACACAAAATATTGGCCAAATAGAAGAGACACAATTCAAATAGAATTGTTTCATATGAAAGACATGTAGTTTTGAACATGTAGTTCAAACACTTGAAAGTATGAAGCCAATGATATGTGCAATCGGTTTTCGATATCTTATATGTCTAGCATGACATGAAAACTTGATATGCATCTAAAGTCTATTATATGGCTTATATGACTTAACTTATATGACAATCCACGAAGGATTTAAGTTGCTTGAAGCATATACAATTCTTGATCTTGAAGAATCACTTCCTCAGTGCAATTTGTGCACATATGTATCTTGCTATAACTATAAGCATGATAATGTGATAGCGAAAATACCTCCATGGAGATATTGAAAAGGCCATTCCACGGCAGTTTATGAAGACATTACATCCTTATCAAGAATGATGATTTCAAGGTGCAATATATTCATTCAAGTTAATATGGCTGATTTGTTTATCAAATATCTACCAAAGATCTTTTGAAGATGGTGCACAAGATTGGAATGCAAATGCTCAAGGATGTGAATTAATGCTCTCATCAG